GGACCTCTTCACCCTACAAAGAGATGAGTATTTTTATTTTTCTTTTAAAATGAAATTGCGTATTATTAACATCTGCAAAAAGTCAACATTCTTAAAAATGTGGAGAGTCGCAAAAAAGTTATCAAACATCCGGTCATTTCTTTAGAAATTCAAAAACCTAAATTCGATACGATTTCAATAGTGTCGAGCGATCCAGACAAAACGACTCCAATGCCACACGTGTGTTTCTTCGAAATGCACAAATTTTCCATTGTAAATTTTACTTAAATTGTATTAATTTTTGTTAATACCAGAAAGGCAATGAGGGGAAACGTGTTGTAAATTTGACATAAGTTGGAATCTTAGGCTTAATTAATTTAAGGAATTTGCAATGTTGTACAATGGGATATCCATCTCACTTTCAAACTCTCTGATCTATTTTGCATGGCAATTGACTTTTCAATAAATCATTCCTTCTTTTCTTCTTCTATCGCCCATTATAATTTATAGGTTTACAAATGTATTAATTTAAGGTAGTTTTGAAAGACCTGGTTCAAATTTGTAATAAATGTAAATCGTTGCAAATTATTGTCGTCAGCGGATCAACTTTAGAGTAGTGGAAGAGTAGTACCGGAGGGGGATTGCGAGAGAGAGAAAAAGACGGACTAGTGGATTTTCTGGAGACTTCGAATCGAGCCGAGAGTCAAGACGTAATTTCGCAATTTTCCATTTTCATAGTGAAAGTGTCCAAATCATAAAAAACGTGCTAATTACGGACAATGAAATTAACAACTACATTGCCCAAGTTAAAACAACAAAGCGCCTGGACATGACAACCTAAAAGGAAAGACTCTGAAAAGAATACACCCGACCGTGACTCCTTTTTTAACAAAAATTTTCAACGCATGTTGGAACTACAGCTACTTTCCAACAATTTGGAAAAAAGGAAAATTGATAGTCCTACCGAAAGATGCAAATGTTACCCAGTCAAAGATTAAGAACTACCGGCTCATTGCACTACTACCTGAACATGAAAAAATCTTTGAAAAAACCGTTCGAAAAACCCTGGAAACCGAGCTAAATCCTTTACACTCCAACAAACAATTTGGCTTCGTCAAAGGCAAGTCAATCGTTGATGCTCTTCACCTTCTTGTTACATCTATCAGACAAGCAAACTCTAAATACGTCGCAACACTCTTTTTCGACATTAAAGGAGCTTTTGATAATCTCTGGTGGCCAGGCTTAATCAAAACACTAAAAACCGAAGTGCAACTCCGAACCCATGATGAAGAGCTATTTAACAAACCGCGAAGTTGAACTCAAACAAAGCAAGTTTACAAGCAACAAATTTTGTACAAGAAGCTGCCCACAAGGTTCTGTTTTAGGGCCCACACTATGGAATCTAATGATGGACACACTCCTGAACGAAGATTGGCCTGACTACACAACCCCGATTTCTTACGCTGACGACCTGTCAGTAATAGTAAAATCCAACACCCGAATTGACATCAAAAATCGACTAAATCAGGTAATCGCAAAGTTAACAGAAGGGGCTACTCGTAATAAAATGCAAATTTCAGAGACCAAGACAACGTTTATGATYAACAAAAGCCCTCCCCGAGTTCACCACCGCGACCTGAACATATGAATCTACGGCCAAAAAATTCGGCTTGTCAAAACGCAAAAATATCTCGGTGTAGTTGTCGATTCCAAACTCAACTTTGAGAGCCACGCGACTTACTCGGCCACAAAATCCCGCCTGATCACGATATCCCTGAGAAACTTTGCGGCCCAGAACTATGGACAGCAGTGTGAAAAATCACAACGAACATCTACAATGGGGCAATTTTACCGATTATGGCTTATGGTAGCAGAATCTGGATCGACCGTGTGCACCTCTCCCAGAACAGACGGCAATACTTCTCTGCACAAGAAGCTGCCGCTGTCTTGGCCGGTAACCTACCGTTGGACCTCGAAATCCAAGTCCGAAATTGCATGAGCGAGAAAAAACACAATCGTAGTGTTTTATTTTTTGACGAGCAACAGACCGTTGGCAAAATCGTTGAGATAGCTCAACAAAAGGTCGGACCACGTACAAGTTTTTGCCGGATGTTTTTCAACGACTCGAAGGTCCCCCAATTGAGTTTTCGTATCACAAGTCAAAAGTTCTTACGGGACATAGGAATCTTGGTGTTCACCGGACCAGGCTTGAAAAAAGCGAAAACCCGAATTGTACAAACTGTCCTGACCTCGAAGATGACCCCTTTTCGAGCAAGCCCAGGAACGCATCCAAAGAATCACTTGAACCTGGCCGCCTGATCTCACTCAGGTGACATACATTGATGACGTCGAAGTGTTTCGTACACTGACGACATCTGATTTGACACCCACAGACGTGACTCTAGAATAAGATAGTTAGACTAAAGTTAATTTTTTTTAAGAACGAAGCGTTGCGGGAGATAGGGACTGAAACTGACAAATCAGGTTACTCTCTTTTGCACCACGTGACAAGCCTTATTTACATTGAACTATAATTACCAAATAATTTTTAAAAATCTCTAATCTTTGACATTATTTTTGAAATACGTCATAATTTTTTAAGTTAAAGTGTCGTTTGTTGGTGCATTTTGGTGTAGCATAATGGTAGAACAACAACCTGGTTCTGTTGTAAAAAAAAATTCCAGGGGAAAGCCAGTTAGTAGTGGTCAGAAAATTATGATACATAATATCTAAGCCAAATTTAGAGAGCAGAATGAAGCTCTCTCCAAAACTGAACTGGTAAAAAGGGTGTCTGAAGTAGCGGGAATTGGACAGACATTGGTTTGGCAAACCATTAAGGAAATGGAAGAAACTCATGCAGTGAAATCGCCACCAAGGAAAAGGAATCGCATGAGTTTCTATCAAAAATTGGACGAGGCGGAAAAAAAATATCAGGCAAATTGTTCATTCCTTTTTTCTAAGAAGGGAATTACCAACATTGAACAAAGTATTCAACGTAAATAAATTTTGTATATTAATTTCTCCCTTTCTAATTACTCTTTTATTTGTAGGTAGTTACTGGTAATGAAACTATTCCTCCCCTTTCGCGTTCGACTTTGTATAAAGTTTTGAAAAGATTGGGTTTTGTATACGAGAAACGCGGGCGAAAATATGCGTTGGTTGAAAAACCAGCTATAATTTTATGGCGTCGTCAGTATTTAGATCAGATCAGAAATTTTCGACAACAAGAAAGGCCGATTTTTTATTTAGATGAAACGTGGGTTAATGCCGGTCACACGAGAGCGAAAGTTTGGAAAGATAAAACTATCGGTTCTGCTCGACAAGCATTTGTGGAAGGTTTATCTACTGGTTTACCTGATCCTAGCGGGAAAGGTAAACGCTTAATCATTACACATATCGGGAATGAAAACGGTTTTGTACCTGGAGGTTTATTAATGTTTGAATCTCAAAAAACGGGAGATTATCATGACAGGAGAGGTCTTTGAGCGATGGATTGCAGGCATATTGCCAAAATTAGCATCCAATGCTGTAATCGTTATGGACAATGCTCCCTACCAAAGTGTGAGGGCAGAGAAAACGCCAACCTCTGCATGGAGAAAAGCAAATATTTTAGCATTTCTTCAGGAAAAAGGAATTGCAGTAAAAGAAGGCGCCCTCAAAGTAGAACTGTTGGTAAAAGACAAGGAATTTGTTTTAAACCATCCTGTTCAATATCGGATTGATTTATTGGTTGCAAATACGGGCCGAGTAGTTTTACGTCTTCCGCCATATCATTGTCAACAAAACCCTATAGAATTAATATGGGCACAAGTCAAGGGTTATGTTGCGGCTAATAATAAAAGTTTTAAATTGTCTGACCTCAAAATACTTTTTGATGAAGGTCTGGCAGAGGTAACAGCCCAAAAGTGGCAAAATTGCATATGTCATGTACTTCGTCAAGAAAAGGATATGTATCAATTCGATAATATTGTAGACGAAATGGAATTGGAATTCACCGTCAACACAGGCTCGAGTGACGAATCAGATGATTTTGAGTGGGAATTAGAAACAGGAGATGTTTCGACCGAGAACGATGTCCTTACTGATTAGCTAGGTACCTAATTCAACTCGATGGTCTATTTTTCTACTAAATAATTTGTGGATTTACCTTCGATTTGATCACTTCTAACGAATGCAAGTTTTCATTGCATTTATAACAAAGGATTAGGTTGTTGTTTAATTTTAATTTAAGAGTCCTTTTTTATGTTCTTGTTTTATTTTTAAGTAAACGTAAAATTCATCGAATGTTGTAATTTTTCTTAGTTAAATTTGTAGAAACTAATTTATAATAAAAAGTCAAAAAACAAATAACATTGAAATTTTCTTCGTTTTTAAAATTACCCCTCTACAATAGGCAACAAATTTTACAGAATTCTAAGAATTGTATTGTGTAAATAAATTGGGCGGCCGATGCTGATGCCACCTACTTCGTTCTAAAAAAAAACACACTATAGATCTGTATGAGCAGGTTAGATTAGGCTAGACTATGCATGCACTCAGCCACCCACATAAAACACGCAAACCAACACCCGGTTTAGCTAGTTTTAAGTTATGTTAGAATAAGAAACACTCAAACAAAGTCGCACACACACTGTCTCCTGCCCCGCATGCAACACATAGCTTAATTAGTTTTAGGTAATTTTGTTAGGTTAGGTTAGTTAAGTTAGAATAAGTTTCAATATAATGACGAAAAAGCCACTGAACAGCTTCCGTCTCTGAGATGACCACAATATCTCAAACTTTCTCAAGTTAGTCTCCTCCTATCTGCATTTTTGATTTGAACGCGTTCATTAAGTTTCAGCCCTATGGAAGTAAAGTTTGAGAGCCCATTGTTATATACTACTCTCATTTTTAGTATTCTTAAAGAAACAAGAGACGGAATTTTGACGCCAGTTTGCCTTAAAAAACTTACATAAGTCCATAACTTAAGGAAATCAAATGTGAACTGTATTTATGAAAATATTGCATCTGTCTTTTCGCCCAATTTGGCGAACGTTTATTTAAATATACGTGCCCTCGGGCACCTGTTCATCGCTCGAACCGGTCGGATCGCTTCGCTCCGCTCTGACCACACCGAGCATCAACAAGTGAACGTGGAAATTGTGTTTGTGAAGAAGCAATTTCCAGGCCGCAAACAAACTACTGCATATCTAGTGAGTAGTTTTAAAATTTTATTTTGCCCTTCTGTTTAAAAATGTCGACCACTCGTCGAAATTCGACGGAATCATTAGCAAGTCAAACAGGTGAATTAGACTATGATAGGGATGATATTGCTAGTATCATTGAAAGCTGCGCTACACATTTATCAATTTTAAATAACTTTATTTTGAAATCAAAAGATTGCATTCGGGACAAGCAAACACATCAAAATGCTATTGAGAATATTCGAACTGGCCTTAGACATATTTCGGCGAATTTTGTTAAACCTAGTATCGATATCAATTTAAAAAAAAAAATTGCCAACATTCTGCTGCGCGTAATTATTTTATTAAGTCAGGAAGCAGAATGTATATTAGCTGGAAATCTTTTAGAGATTATCTTAGAGTTACACGGTGTTTTAAGTGCCAAAATTTCGGACACGTTTCCTTTTATTATTTCCTTTTATTTCAAACTGGAAAGTTGAAAACGTAACCTCGTCAGATCATAATTTAATTAGCTTTAAAATTAATAAAAACTTTGCACACGCAGACCATACTACACCTTGTGTTAATTACAGATTGGACTTAAACTCGATAAAGGATGAAGTTCTTCAGCCGCATGTCGATGATCTGATGAGCCTTTTGGATGAAAGACTTTCAACGATCGACTCAATTCCGGAAATCGAAAATGCAACGAGAAAATTATGCAGCGGACTTGCGAAAATTTTTCTCAAATACGGAAAAAACGCAAAAATTTTGTGGGAATGCCCGATTGGTGGAACGAAGAATTGGAGAGATTTCGAAAAATCTATCTTGCGAAAAAGACGCTCTTTTACCGCAACAGATTTCGAGAATACCATCTTTTCGCAGAAATGACCAGGGCAAAGGAAACTTTCAAAGAGAAAGTGGAGAAACGCATACAAAAATATTGGTTGAAATTCGCCTGAAATGACCTGGCTAGGAACCCCTGAGGAGATATTTACAAGTTGGCTTCTGAAAAATTCAAAACTCGTGGAATTTTGCAATCTTTTCAAACCGACGAGGAAAACATAACCAGGGACTTTCGATCAACCATGGAATTTTCCATCACGAATTTACTTCCTGATGACGACCCGAACATCAACACCGCGGAGCAACATGTCACTCTAAGCAATTATCGAACAACCACTGCGGAAGTGGGGAGTGACGTTGTAATTAGCGAAAAGGAAGTCGACAATTTTGTGTCTGAGATCCAGAACAAAAAGCCCCCGGCCTTTACAATTTAAAAAGAAAAATCCTTAAAAAATTGTAGCCCAAAATTACACCACTAATCACCAGAATTTACAATGCCTGTTGGTCGCTTAATTATTTTTCGTCTACCTGGAAAAAGGGCAACCTTGTAGTTCTGTTGAAAGACCCAAACGCCAGCCACTCAAATATCAAGAACTATCGCCCCATAATGCTTTTTCCGGAACATGGAAAAATCCTTGAGAAAACTATAAGGAGAAAACTCGAAGAAAAATTGTGTCCGTTACATTCTCAACGTCAATTTGGATTTGTCAAAGGACGTTCGACAAGTGATGAATTGCACTCAATTGTCTCAACAATTCTCTCCCAGGCCAAGTAAGTGACGACAATCTTTAGTGGCCCATCCCTGATCAAGACACTAAGGAATCGAGGAGCAACTTCAAAACTGACAGCCATGATTAAAAGCTACCTAAATGCGGTCCATTATGGAAGTCACACAAGGCGATGTCACTGTCCGAAAATCCTGCACCAAAAGATGCCATCAGGGATCTGTTTTGAGCCCCACATTATAGAACCTGGTTATGGACACTCTTTTGGAATCAGATTGGCCGGATTTTGCAACCCCTATTGCATATGCTGACAATCTGTGGACTCACATCTTCGTACTCACCTTAAATTACGATTACCTCAGGTAATTACTAAAATTACAGATTGGGCTACTCGTAATAAATTGAGTGTTTCAGAGACGAAGACGAAACTTATGATTCATAAATGCCCCTCGAGAATCCACCACCGTGTCCTGGATATCAGGATGTATGGAAACAAGATTTTGCTGGAGAGACGCAGAAGTATCTTAACATTATGCTCGATTCGAAGCTGCATTTTGAAAGTCACGCCATCCACTCGGCGAAGAAACTCCGGCAAATTACAATGAGCCTACGTAGCCTCGCCGCTAGAAAATTTGGACAAACCTATGATGAATCATATTACGGGGCCATTGTTCCAATTATTGCATATGACAGCCGTATCTGGTCGGACCGACTTCACGCTGTAAAGAAGAACCGGCAATACGTGTCTGCACAAGCACCTTTTAATCGAATCCTGTCGAAGTGCTATGACTCTGTATCGAAAGAGGCTGTGCCGTTCTCAACGGAATTTCTCCCATGGACATCGCAATTCAAATGCGAAATTGCCTGAATGAAATAAAACATGGCCGAAATGTTTTAGCCTTGTCCCAAGTTCTCACGGGCCATCTGAACTTTGGTAATCACCAAACCCGACTTGGAAAAAGCGAAAACTCTAACTGTACCACCTTGAAGATGACCCAGTGCACTGCATAATGGAATGTCCCCATTTTAAGGTGTGATGGACCAAGCGGTGTTATTTGGCAATGCCAAGAATTCGGTTGCGTTATGCTGACCAGGTCCATTGCAACTTCGATATTTTATTGTTTAAGTATTTCATTAGTATTTCGTATAGCTTTGTAAGTATTATTATTACGGTTAATGTAAGTAGGTTAGGAGATATGGAGGTGGTCTTAGTGACCTATTGTTATAAATACAAGGAAACCACCAACAGGAAGAATCAGTAAGAATCAGTAGAAGAATCTGTAACATTAGTTAATAAGTAATAAGTGACTAATGTAGTGAATAAACAATTAACACTGGTACTGGCGTTTGATAACCAAACCCCCTCAATCCATACATTACATGGCGATCCTGCCAGTGGCAGTTCAGTGATATTATAGTATGTGTTAAAGAGAAAAAAATGGCGGGCAACACGCAGTCGAAGCAGGAAGAAATCATTGTGGAAGCTGCAGGAAACGGGTCTAATGCAGCAGCGGCCAAACTAGGAGTGAGTATTCGCCGAATCTTCGAGGAGTTCCAGCTCCAGCGACCCGCAGTGAAGTGAAAACAGTGCCGGAAGTACCGAGTGAAGTGAGAACCGCCCGCACCGTAGTTTGTAATTAAATAAATCATTTGTTATTTCAATTGCAATTTTCAGATAAAAGAACTATTAAAATTTGTAAAAAATAATAATGTTCCAAATATTGTTCTCAAAATTGTTTAAAAAAAAAATGAAAATCAAATATAATAAAGACAAAAATATTAATAATTATATCAACGAACAAACGACAGTAAGT